AAAAGTGTTTAATGTGTTTTTCTGTCCCTGAGGATTTTAATGTTTGTGTCTTTCCCATGTTTAGGTTTTTAATAGTGGCACGGCTTGTATTGTACAGAAAAAAGCAGTAAAATTATTATTAAATACACACAGGCAGGAGAGTTTTTCTTTTTTTAAATGTGTTTTTTAATTCTAGACACTTTTCCCATATTTGACAAATTATTTTCGGTAAGTTGCACTAAAAATTAGCTTGTGTGCAGTGTTTATGGCAGTGTGCTCAGAAGCTATTTATGAGCAACTTGAGAGTCAAAGCTGTAAAGCTAGAGGTGATTTCAACCATCAGATTCTTACTTTCTCACATCAGCACTTGCAACAGCTATCTTAGCAGTGAGTCATGATTGTGCATTTGCATGCATGGACGGGGCCAAAATGTTCTTGGACTCCACACAGGTTAACTGGCAGGGAGCGTGAGGTGAGAGCCGTGGTGGCGCGTGTTTGATGCCAGCGAGTAATTGTGTCATAATGTGAGAGACGAGAGCTGGCAGCTTCCTATTGCTGTTTGGAGGGGTTCAGTGACACTTGACATGCCTCTTCAGCTTCACAGAGCAGGGCATGAGAGAGCGCTGGAGTAAATAGAGGGAGCTAATGCTTGCTTTTATGCAGAGACACAGGAATGAGAGAAGGGCGGGTCTCTGCCAGAAGGGGGTGGAGTGAAGGGGGAGGGGTCAGTGCTTCCAGAGCAGCTTGTTAAAATGAGAAGGATTGAATTTTTAAAAGAGGGGCAAAATGTGCAGAGTGGAGCCAGATGAATCTCATTTATCCGTATGATTCTGTGTTACTGAAATTCAAGACCTCATACTTATTACTTGCTTTTAAAACAGTTTAGGAAAGCATCACAGACTTTAATTTTGTTTAGTTTGGTGTTTGGTTTGATATGGAATTTTGAAATAAAAATATTTTATAAAATAAAATATAATATTTATTAACTTATAACCAAAGTAAAATATAGTTTACACTAATGAGTCACATGACACCGGGGAGAAAAAATGGCTAATTGGGCCCAATTTGTACATTTTCACTTAGGGGTGTACTCACTTTTGTGGCCAGCGGTTTAGAGATTAATGGCTGTGTGTTGAGTTATTTTGAGGGGACAGCAAATTTACACTGTTATACAAGCTGTATCCCTGTATACAAAGTGTCATTTCTTCAGTGTTGTCACATAAAATATTATATTATTAACTTAATTTTGAAATAAACATTTTCTAAAATATAATATTAAATTAATTACCTTAAAAACAAATAAAAATATAGTTATTTATATTTATTTGAAAGTTTGAAATAAAATTATTTTATAACATAACATATACTGTATGTATTAATTAAAAATAAAGACAAAAAATCTAGTTATTTATTTTATATGTAGTATGCAAGTATATTAGCAAAGGTTTATAATGAAGAAAGGGCCTAATAAAATGTATCTGTTTATTGGGTTTTATTCCATTTCCTAACCAGCTACAACAGAACAGCACATTTTAGCTGGAGTCAATGGACCTTTTGCTCCTCCCACATGAAAGAGAAATTTAGCACAAGAAACAAAGAAACCGCCCATCATGTGATGAAATTTGACAGCTGGGTATTATAACTGGGTATTATAAGAGCAGAACCATTTATAGGCGATAGCTGACATTTCTGAAATCTTGCTAATTAAGGGCTTCCTTCTTAAACTCAAGCATAACATCAGGGGGGTTTTTTTCTTTCTTCTCCATTTCCTCTCTCTTCATGTTTGTAAAATCAGGTGATTTCATTAATGCGTGCCAGTCAATCTTAATAAGCCAGTGGAAGGGGGGGGGGCTCTTATTGAGTGACCTTCTACAAAATAAGCAAGTTGCTGGTGGGCTCTGTCCGCAGCCCCACTCCAGCGAGCTGGGCCTCATTTACAATGCAAAACCTCCTTCTGTAATCCAAGTGTCCTTTCTGCAATCACAGAGCATAATCTGCTGCTCTCTTGTTACAGACAACACTTTACTGCACCGGCCATCACACAATGAATATTAGAGCCGATATTATTTTCTCAGTGCATTGTTCGCCCATCTTCACATCGCAGAGATTAAGGCAGGACGAGTGCTTTGTGCAGCCACTTGTGCTGAAAAGTGGCCTCATTCTAATACTGTTAAAATAGTCACCGGGGCCATGTGCGTGAATTATAATGGACACAAAAGGTTTGTCTGCTCTGGCATGTGAAAGAGAGATAGCTTTACATTTCATCTTTGCATGGAAATAGTTTTTAAAGCATTTATTGTGATGTGTTCACTTGCTGGGAGGCTGTCATCTATTTTTTATTTTTATTTTTTTAACTTTAAAATCAAAATGATAATCAAAAATTGACACTATTTACTCTATTAATATGCATTCGTAGTCATATTGCAAATAATTTATTAGCTGATGTTTGACCCTTTTGTGATAATTGATATGACTGCTACTGCTGCTAATAAATTATTTGTATTTTTTTTTCAGATATTATTAGTGTTTTTGTTGTTGTTGTTGTTGTTGTTTGTAAAAAAAATCAAATATTATTAGTGTTTTTGTTATTGTTGTTGAAAACATTGTAGAAAATGAATGTGATTTTTTTTTGTGTATTTACCATAATTTAATTCAATATTAAATATTGCACTAAAATATTAGATTTTTTTACTAGAGAGAGTCAATTTTTTTTTATTATTATTATTAATATTGTAGAAAATGAATATGCAGTTTTTGTGTATTGATCATCATTAAATATATGACCTAATCCAAGGGTGTCCAAACTCGGTCCTGAAGGGCCACTGTCCTGCAGAATTTAGCTTCACTTTGTCTCAACACCGGCCTGGAAGTTTCTAGTATGCCTAGTAAGACCTTGATTAGCTGGTTCAGGTGTGTTTAATTGGAGCCAAACTCTGCAGGACAGTGGCCCTTCAGGACCGAGTTTGGACACACCTGACCTAATCTGCAGATGTGATTTTCTTTCTTTTTATGTGAATGGCTTGTTTCTTCTTTTTGTTGGGATTGGACTCCAGTTGTCTGTAAGCCGGTTGAAAACCTCAACCCCATCTCTTTAGTTCTTCAAAAATAATCCTCAATTCTTTGGTCTACTGGATATAGGTGGAATGTCAGTCTTCCAGAGAAAGATCCCGAAAGTCTTACTTGGATTGTGCCTGCAGCTTTTTGATGCCCATGGACAAAAAAAGTCAGATGTGCTTTTGGGTTTCTAGTGTGAGGGGCCAAACAGTAAGAACTAGACAAAGAGAGCTGGAGAAACAGACAGACAGCTGGTGGTCCTGTTGCACAGTTGTTTCTGTGATTTTTGCTGTTTGTTTTACAGTAAGAGTTCAGTAAAATGTTCTATTTAAACTGTAGAGGTCCATATACATGTATATGTATGTATACATGCAAACTGCAGCATTAGTAAATTCCAACAGCTTGATTGTTTTATTATATTATTTTTATACCACTTTCTTTAAAAACAAAGGTTCCAAAAGTTTTTTTTTGTTTGTTTTTGCGTCTATGCTATAAAAGAACCAGTTCTTAAAAGCACCATTTTTTATATACGTATCTAAAGAATCTTTTTCCACTATATAGAAGCTTTTGTGGAATTGAAAGTTTCCATGGATGTTAGAGGTTCTTCATGGAATCATCAGTGTCAATATAGAACCTTTATTTTTAATAATAAAGAATTTGTGATAAACATATACTCTTACATACATTTCCAGAAATAGGTGTTTAAATCACTGTACATTTTCTTGCCTGTTGATAACTGTACACCTTCAAAACTGTTCTTGCATAGCCATTTTGTTTCTTCATGCATCACTCTCTGACCATCAGACAGCAGAATGCTGCTTTGGCAGTAATATCTTAAATCTGACAGCATTATTCTGTTTTACAGTTCTAGCATTGTGGCGAAATAACCCAAGCCCATGTCTCTGTCAGTGGCCCGTCTCGTAATTCATTGTTGCTGCTTGGAATAATAAACACTAAATTGCTTTGAGGGATAGGACATTAAAGGGATTATTCTCATGTAATCCGCGGGTCCCTGTAGACGTGGACCTGATCACAGAACAGCACAGAGCAGCGTTACTCAAAACACAACAATGGCATGTACACCACAGCGCCACAGCTACTTTAACCGCCTGTTGTTGTGTTTTGTTTTTTCTTGTCATCCCCAGTGAGCAACGGTAAATCCGCCCCCTCCCCCCGCTTATTAAATGAGCGTGTTTAAAGGTTAGACAAGCATACGCTAATTATTTGATTATTTGGACGAGAGAGCAGAAAGTTGTGTCTCGGTTAGCTGGGAAGAGGCAGAGGAAACCACTGGAGGGAGGATTGAAGTCAAAATAAAAAGAGCACAAGTGCTTTTAGCTGCGCTACAGTAACAGAAAAGCACATTAAGCTCACTATGAAAGAGAGCCGGGTGATACTTCATACTAACCTTCATGAATAAGTCATTAAAAGACTTTATATAATGCTAAACAGATCATATATGAATTAAAGTTTTGTGACATTTTTGTGAGTGTATGTGAGTGTATATGAAATAATGATCAGTTGAGAAATATATTATGTGATAGCTGTTTCTGAAGCTCAACTGGTGGAATATATATATATATATATATATATATATATGATGGTATTATATTTTTTTATTGCTTTCATTTGTATATTTAAATTTTTCGTTTGAATTTTAATTTGAGCAATTTTATGTGCTTTTTTTTTTAGGGGGTTATTAATTAATTAATTTATTTATTGTTTGTAGCTGTAGTACTTCAACCTAAAATTATTTCAGTTAGTTGCCAAGGCATCATTTCTCATTTTTATATAAATGTTTAACCTTAAGCTTTTCATCTAATATTTATATTTTGTTTCATTTTAGCTTGATTTAAATGAAATGTATTTTCATTTAGTAGTTTAAATGTTAGTTTTACTTAACAATAACAGCACTGTTTCATGTACTTTTTAGCTAATGTGTCTCTCTGGCTGTTGTTTGTGCTGCTGCAGGTAGAGCTGGCGGGCAGCAGTGTGTTTGATTACGTTCACCCGGGCGATCATGTGGAGATGGCCGAGCAGCTGGGCATGAAGCTTCCGCCGGGCAGAGGGCTGCTGTCTCAGGGCGGCGGGGCCGAGGACGGGGCCAGCTCTGCCTCTTCTTCCTCTCACTCTGAGACACCTGAGCCAGGTAAGATCATGTGACTATGAGCAGCCTTGTTGGTCAGGTTAGAACATGAGGGTTTAAAGTTTAGACATCATAGACTTGCACTGTGTGCGTGCAACCGGCAACCTTCGGTTTGTGTTTTGTTGCGCTCTAGTTTGGTTTTGCTGTTTTGGCCCTTTTAGATGTTTAATTTTAGATTATTTTAGTTTAGTCTAATTTAGTTTAGTTTATTCCTGTTTTAAAAACATTATTTTGTATAGATTAATGTTATTTGGATATTTTATAATTGTAATATTTTATTTTGTTTTGGCCATTTAAGATTTTTATTTTATTTTTTATTTTTTAATAATTAATTCAGGAATACTTGATTCTGATTCACTCAATGGTGAACAATTCCACTTTACGTCGGAGTCCTTGAATACATATATTTATTTCATTTTAGTTTCGTTTTTAGTTAAGTTTAGTCACTATTTTTAAAAAACATTATTATTTATTTTATTTTCTTTAATATTATTTAATTATTTAATAACTTTTTATAATTTTTATTTGATTTTATTATTTTATTTTAATACTTCATTCTGGAATACTTCATTCTGATTCACTCAATGGTGAATAATTCTGCTTCACGTCGGAGTCCTTGTAATTGGCTTATTACCGACAGTTAAAGGGATAGTTCACCCAAAAAGGAAAATGTGATGTTTATCTGCTTACCCTCAGGGCATCCAAGATGTAGGTGACTTTGTTTCTTCAGTAGAACACATATGATGATTTTTAACTCAAACTGTTGCAGTTTGTCAGTCTTATAATGGAGGTGGATGGGAATCACGGCTTTGAGAGTCAAAAAAACATACACAAACAAAACCAAATTAAACGCTGCGGCTCGTGATGATACACAGATGTGTAAAGACACAAAACGATCGGTCTGTGAAAGAAACTGAACAGTATTTATATAGTTTTTTACCTCTGATGCACTGCAGTGTCTGAACTGTCCTGAGAGCAGGGTTTAATTTGGTTTTGCTTGTGCATATTTTTTTGGACTCTCAAAGCCGTGATTCCCATTCACCTCCATTATAAGACTGACAGGCTGCAACGGTTTGAGTTAAAAAGCTTCGTTTGTGTTCTACTGAAGAAACAAAGTCACCTACATCTTGGATGCCCTGGGGGTAAGCAGATAAACATCAAATTTGCATTTTTGGGTGAACTATCCCTTTAATACTGACCTCTTTAGCCCTAAAATGTGTATTTTTTCCCCAAGACCTCTACTTTAATGTCTGGATTCTGTGATTTGTCAGTTATTTCTACATTATTGTAAATCATGGTTTTTAAAATAAACGGATGCATAATTTCAGTTTAAATATAAAAAGAAACATTTGCAATTCATTTGGGACACTGTTGCTTTGAGTTATGCTTTCATTCAATGATCTTGACGCTCCAAATTCAGGCTGTATTATTTGTTTTGTGTGTTCTTTATTTAGTCATTTATTTCTTCGCTTGTCTGTTTATTTATTTATACCCAAAGCCATGTTGCTTTCTGAGGTCTTTGTTATAGATACGTTGCACCAAGTGGTTAATATGATGCTCAGACACTATGAGTGGACCTCAGGTTGCCAAAATTGTGTGTGTGTCTGTGTGTGTTAATGGCATGTGTGACATGATATGCCTGATGAGTGTCTTCCGCTCGGCCCTGAACTCTCGATGAGCGGCCCGTGTGGCGGCAGCACTGTAACACAGGCTTACCCTGCTCCCGAATTTAATTAGAGGAATTGTATAGCAGGGATGAAAAGAGGTGACATTCCTCATTGGAATTCTTTTCAGGGCTCTTATAGACTTTGCCTTCCAAATGTTCCCATTTTCATTGTGTTGTACTGATGATAATTTAAGTATTAGGGGAAAATCCATTTATAAATTAAACAAAATGACTTGATATCCATCAGTCCCCGAGTTCATCAAGCTGTTCAAACATGAGGGAGATTGGCTGGTCGGCCCGGGTCTTCCGAGAGCTTCAGTAATTAGATCTGCCAAGGATTTATTCTTTGCTGATTGGAGCTTTAAATTAATTGAAGTTCCACATTTGTGATTTTGTCCTTTTCGTGGCGTTTTCTTTTTCTTTCTTTTTTTTCTAGCCAGGCAGAAATTTCATACTGGCAGACTCGAGGTGTGTGTGTGTTTATGTGTTAATATTCTTGGTGAGAGTGAGTGAGGGGGTCTTTAATGGTTAGAGGGTTGGTCTGACGTTGAGATTTATTTGTGTATACACAGAATCATTAAAGATGTGCTTTACAATCAGAAAAAGGGCACCATGGTCTGTCTTTTAACACCAGAGCTTAATTTATAAATTATGAGGACTGGAGACACATATTGTACAAAAAGTTTGTGGGGTATTTAATTTATAAGGATAAAAGTGTGTTTTAAAGTTGGGCAGCATGATGCCTTCCCTAGACGTCATCTTCATTGTTAGCTTGCTGGGATAGATTTGTTGCTTTAATTTTTTTTTTTTGCATTGTATGGAGCCCCTTAAGGGACATGGTGGTGGTTTTAAAAAAAAAATAGATGCATGGAAAAATTGCATTTTAATGTTTTTGCATTTACTCGTAAAACTTTAGTTTTTCTCGCAAAACTATCTTTGTGATGGAAGTTAATATGAGGTGGGAGGAAAAAGTACTTTTGCTAGAGAACACAAATGTCAGGACCATGTGATATTTCAGTTTTTCTTTTTTAATAAATCTGCAAAAATGTCAACAATTCTGTGTTTTTCTGTCAATATGGGGTGCTGTGTGTACATTAATGAGGAAAAAAACTTAACTTGAATGATTTTAGCAAATGGCTGCAATATTGTTAAGAGTGAAAATTTTAAGGGGGTCTGAATACTTTCCGTACCCACTGTACATTTTTTTTGAGAGAGTGCAATTTGCGAGAGAATTCAATCGTTTTGTGAGAGAACGCAAATTTTGTAGGAGGATGCAAAGTTTCTTGGGGGAACTCAATACTTTTGCGAGAGAAAAAATATTTTGCAAGCAAATGCAAATGTTTTGTAAGGGATCGTAAAGTTTATTGGGGGAATGCACTATTTTTTGAGAAAATGCAAGTGTTTTGTGCAACCCTCTACATTGTGAGTAAATCACTCGCATGTGCGACTAAATGATGTCTAATATTAGTCAATGGCTAATAAATTCTCAGATTTTACTCGCTAGTGTGTGAGTTGGAGGCTATAAGTTTAGCTCAGGCATATTTTCACTTGCCGAACATGCTGACTGAGTGCTTCAGAGTTTCTGTAGTTAATTATTCAACAAAAACAAGCTATAAATCATTGTATAGTATGACCAACACACTATTAGATAGATTAAACATAAATGTTCTTTTCTGTAGGCCAGGCCTATATGTTACGATGAAATTAGGTGATTTCACCTAACATTTTTATTTAACAACTACAATCACAGTATATTGACTGATTTGTTGAACTTCCAACCTTGTAAGCATGTAATAATTAAGACAACATAAAGCACTGACAAATAAGCCTGGTGTAAACATTAATATGAAAGTCAGTAACAAATCACACAAACTAAAGTAGATTGCAGAAATATAAAAACAAATCTGTAGATTTACCACACTACTTTAGGTTATTCACAGTCACTGTAATAAACATATGTAAACATGTGCACTGCACTTTTTAAACACTGTCTGTTAACTTTAGACCAGTGGTTCTCAAACTTTTTTGGTTGCGCCCCCCTCAGACTACCAAATAATTTCTCTAAACATTATGAAAAATTAATGTTTTTTTAATTAAAAAAAACCTACAGGGAAAAAAACACCTGCATCACTTGAAACATTGAAAAATAGAATAGAGAGAATAACTTATTAATCTCTCTGTTATTTATGTATTTTTTGTGGGTTTCTTGCTGTCCGCTAAGGCATAGGACACACACAGGCTTTCCTCCTCACCACCGACATTAAACACGTGTCTACACCGGACGCCAGCGGCAAAATACAGTAGAACCATTATAATCAGTGACGCTGTCTACATTAGATGCAGCGCAGCGCGACAAAACCCGACATTAAACTGATGCCTTGTTCTATTTATGACGTACTGACACAAAGTTAAAATGATTTGCACCGGTTGCTTTGTCGCATCTAGTGTAGAGCTGTTGCGGTGCGACGCGTCAACTGTGGTGTCCAGTATATACACGGCGAGTGAAGCCGAGAGCAAGATATGCCTCGTCATATTTCTGCATTAGCTTTTAAATGACTAGCACCTGCCTGGGTCTGTGCAACTTCTTCTATGGTTTAAGTAATTTAAAGCAGTTTTGCATAAGGCAGCAACTTAAAATGTGAAAAAAATGAAGGGGTATGAATATTTTCGCAAGGCACTGTGTCTGTGTATATATATATATATATATATATATATATATATATATAGTATATCAGTCTGGCGAGTAAACTAAAAAGTTTACTAGCCAATGGCGATTCAATTGCCAAGGCGTCTGTAGAGGGTTGTTTGTGAGAGAATTTAAATGTTTTGTGAGCGAATGCAAAGTTTTTCTGGAGAACACAATATTTATTGGAGTAACGCAGTAGTTTAGTGAAAGGGCACAAAAGCATTGAAATATAATTTTTTCCCCCATCACCATGTCCCCTCAGGGTGCTTGTAGTGTAACATTATTTTACTAGCGAAGATGATTTTCTTTGGCATAAATTACAAAAAACGGTGAAAAATCTCTCCAAGCCTTGGAGACTAAGACTTGGCTGGTTAGCATGGGACAATTCACCTCTGCTGGTTGACATGGCAACTACATCATCTAGAGACAAAAAAAACATTTTTTGTTGTTGTTGCAAACAATTTGTTATATTATTGTAAATATTTTGCCAGTGACCGTTCTTTCTGCTTCTTGAGTTTTATATTTACCTGTGTGCTGGCTTTGGCGTCACATCTGTGTGCCAGCCGCGCTTCTGTCATTAAGATGAATGGGAATGCTAATAGTTATCTTTCTCCAGGTATTATAGTCCGCCTTGGGACACAAAATCTCCCT